TAAATAAATAAATAAATAAATAAACACAAAGGTGCAAGTCAGTCTGGTCTAAAATGTAATAAAACAAATAACATAAAAAATATAAAAAACAACATACAGACACAACGTGTAAAATCTAGAGGAGAAAACCTTTTTATGCAGGCTATATAAAAATAAATGTCTCTACCTTATTGGGACTTCTGATACTGGGAGGAGGAACCAGGGCGGGCAGTATGAGGTAGTTGATCATCTGGAGACCTGCCTGCGCCTCATCAGTTATTGTGGATCTGTTCTTGGATTTGATGATTTTCGTGTGAGAGAAAGCAGACTCACACAGGTAAATCCAAAAAGTTCTGTCAAGTTCAAAGCACCTCWTCTGATGTTAGGATACGTTTCCTCTGACAGCAGACTGCAGAACTCTCCATCCATGCCACTTGTTGCTCAGGATTTTATCCCACTGTCATTTTGCAGAGTAAAAACCTCATTTTCAACACCAGAGCAGTCCAGCAGAAACACGAACACGAATTTGGACACAATGTCAACCATCCTGGTCAATTGCGCCTCTTTATAGCAGCCACAATCTCACATTTATTTTTAAAATCACGGAAAAGCATATCTGCAGCATCAAACGCTTCTTTCATAACTTGGACATTGCTGAAAGATGTTTTTTGTGTTGAGGCAGGATGGCTACTTTAGCCTTACCTCTGGTGTGAAAATCGATACTGTGCGGTTTTAGGAGGAAATCCGCGTTTGTGCATTGTTTTGAAATGCCGTTCCACGTTATCCTTTTTGGACAAGGCAGCATTCGAATTACATATGAGTCCTCTTCCCACTCCAGGTGAAAATAATAAGTTTTTGTTTGCTTGATAGCTCGTTTTTCGTTCATTATTTTCCGCCTCAAGYTCATGTTTTAAACACGTGACCCTAAAGTCTCGCAAGATCATGTTCGGAGCGCTGATTCACAGCACCCAAAGCTCGTGAGACTACCCTCCTCTGAGCTTCATTCTAACTCCAGCAGAAGCGGTGGAGGTGGGAGACGGGAGGAGTTTACATTCCTGAACGCGCTCCCTCTGCTCTCCTCCTCCCACCTCCACCACTTCTGTCGGAGTTAGAATGAAGCTCGGCGAGCTCCCGACCGGAGCGCAACCTTACAGCTGATGACAGCTGTCGTCAGCTGCAAGGTTGCGCTTCGCAGGCACCTGGGAATCAGCTGACAGGTGAACAGTCGCCTGCGAGRGACTGGTTGGCCACCCCCTGTTCTAATACATTTGGAAGTGTGATTTATTTGGGTGACATTGCTGTCAGTTTCAGTTTAGCAGCAGGTGTCACTAGTGAGCAATGAATGAAGCACCGAATAATGAACCTTTGAGAAAAGCAATGGGTTGGAAAGCCTCACTGCTTCATGAGGCTTCAWTTGGCCATCACTACATGTAGGTACTAGAAGATCGACCAGATGGTTCCACAGGAGGTAAACGCCGTACACAGGAAAACACACAGGTTAACAGGACACAGGTAAGGCAAAACTCTGAGCGGCTGAAATGCTTTACGCAGGACAAGCAATGCTTCAGCGAGGATCTGATCTTCGGAACAGCCTTCTGAACCCAGAGAGCTGATTGCAAAGATACGCAGCAGCTGAGAGTAATTGAGCTGCCAACCAATTGGGAATCAGGTAAGACAAACAGGTAGCAAACAACACAGAATGCCTCACTTGATTTTTATGACAAACTAGTGATGTGATCTTTCCTTTTTTATCCACAATTTCCTCTCAAGCTGTTGGACTCAGTTTCTCCTTTCACTCCATGTTCTTTTCAGCAAAATTATCAACATTCTATAGGATGTATTTTTTTATTAATATTGATCATGTGTCTGTCACAAAATTTTATTTATTTATTGTTTTATTTGACTATCTTGATCAGTTTTTGATGGAACAGATGAAAAGATGGATGTATTATTCAACAGCCTCAGCCAGCAAAACCTCAGCAGATATTGCTTTCAGAAAGCATCCACTAGAGCCACTTGTCTAAAACAATTACGCCTGCAAGTTCCAAGTTTAATTTTGATCATATAATGCTTGGTGCATACCCTGTAGGAAACTACTTTTGACTAAAAATAAATCAGGCTTAAGAATCCTTGTAGATCAAAGGTTTTTGACCAGCCTGTCTGACACACACACACACACACACACACACACACACACACACACACAC